AGAAATTAACAGTATACTTTCTTCGCATCTGAAACGCTCTCTTAATTATAGACCTCCGACTGGTCGCACATCAAACATCGAGGAAGTGAATAGGAAAAAAAAGAAGAATTTATAACAGTTGTTGCAGTCAAGCGAGCTCGAAACACAGTATTTTTAATACTAGAACTTAGTTAATAATCTAGTTAGTGAATAATCACGTAGAAAAGCATTTAAACATCGAATTCAAGCTCGCCGTTTATAATAATGGTATAATGGCTTTATTGTAGTAAAATTATAGTAATAACAATCACATATGGTGTTAACTATCAACGAGATATAACACGCATGTTTAAAATGATGGGACATAAATAATTTAGACGCATCGTGTGCTCGACGTGGTACTTAGAAATCATGTAACATTAAAAATATATATATATATATATATATTTATATGTATTTATATATATATATTTATATGTATAATATATATAATATGTATAAATTGTTGAGTTATTTCCTATAAATATCTTCTAAAATCTGGCTTGGCAAATTAATCACTTAGAAACAAATTCACAATTTTTTAGTCATTAACTTTAGGCACCAATGGTATGCAGACCCTGTCTTTGGTACATACGACCGATTCGATTTTATTATATATCTGAACGTTAGAAGACATCAATTGGTTTGTCTTCCATTTATTAGAAGAATTCTTTCGTTTAACAATACATCAGTTACTTGTTCCTTCGTCTTTGTTCGTTCCACATTGTTCGTTATAGTGTTAGGTTTAACCTCGTTCCAGTGCGGTATTAAGGAATCACTCGTGTTCCTTTTCCCGTCGTTTCTTGCTTCTTTTTTTTTTTTTTTTGTTTAAATTAGCAAAACGACACGATCCTCAAACACGTCTGACAATGATAACTCAGTCTTCTTCCTTTTTCTCTGGCTTCAAATCTACCATTGCGTGGAGTTCTTCCGGACTGTATCTACAAACGAACAACATATATACTGAAATAAAGTATAAAACTCGTATCACGTTAAATTCGGTTTATATATACAATGTGATAAAAAAAAGAAAAAAAAAAAAAAACACAAGTTTTTATCTGTGTATTTTACGAAAGATCAATCAAAATTGAACATTATCTTAACTACTTTGATGAATTTTAATCACTGAGTGATTAACCCAAGAAATTAAAAAAACTATTGCAAGTTACAGGCTTACCCTAGGAGACTCTGTAAGTCACAGACAAAGCGGTAAACGTATCGTTTGCCGGCTGTTTTATGTATAATATTCTTGTCGTAGTAATAACGGAGACCGCGGCTCAGTTTCTCGTAGTTCATTTTAGGCTTGTTTTTACGGATACCCCAACGACGAGCCACTTCATCCGGATCCGTCAACTTGAACTCCCAGCCATCGCCAGTCCACGAGATAAATCCTTGGCATGATTTGTCTGTTAACAGCTCTAGCAAGAACTGCCAGAGTTGAATGGGACCGGAACCGGTAAAGCAGGGTCCGCTGTCTGCAATATTGAAAAGTAAGTCTTTGTAATTTCCTGGTAAAAAGAAAAAAAAAAAGCTACGCTGTAATTTTGAATCGATCAATTACTTGTGTAACCGGGGATCATCGCGCTTTGCAGCAGAGGTTTCTGATCAGGATTGTTTCCAATAGACGAAGGGTGATGAGGATTGGAAGAGTCCCTTGGACCAAGACCAGCCAGGAATGCCGGATGATGAGACAGGTGCTCGAGAGGACCAACTCCCCATTGATCACCGCCAACGCCGCCACCTCCGCCGCCGCTTCCGCTTCCGGGAACCGTCTGGAACGGCGTCGCATCGTATTGTCCGTATCCGCCGCTCTCACTGTATCCTTCGTGATAGCGACCTGTTGCACAAATTATAATCATTGACAAACAGCGTCTCTCAGATTTCATTAATTCTCTGCTGTTCCTCTCGCTTCTGTTTTCTCAGAAAAAAAAAAGTGACGCTACAATCTCCTTTTTCGAAACGCGTTTATTGGAATATAAGCAACAAGATCGTGCGTTTTTTAAACAATTGACGAAACACCATAATTTTTTTTTTTTTTTTTTTTTTTGACACGCGTGGAATTGAAATAAACGAGAAATGGCAAAAATCATATCGCTAAAATTACATACATGAAAATGATCGACGTTTATTCGGAATATACTGGTAACAGCGAGATCATGCGTTTCTTAACACGTTCCGTGCCAAGCGATTTGTTGCCTTTTGTTGTCGTTCAGGCCA